AACAAGACACTTGTTTTATAAGCATAGGATTCTTTGATTGCCACTTAAAAATTATGAGCAGACAGTGTGCATAAAGTCCAGCATTTAAATAAATAAATAAATATATATATATATAAAACAAGACACTTGTTTTACAAGCATAGGATTCTTTGACTGCCAGTTAAAAATTATAAGCAGACAACGTGCATAACCGTATAGTCCAGCATTATATATATATAATATATGCACGCGGGGTAGTGAACTAAAGTTAGCAATTATTTCACATGGGATGATGATTCAACTCGTCACGTTATTATTTGTTAACGATTCCGTACGCTTACAAATTTTGTTTGAATACTCTTCATATGGGTTCGAACAGGATTGTCATGCAAGCAGAATGATGTGGAGTGTGAGTCTAGATTGTTTGTTACGTGTCTGTTGTGTGGCCATGCTTGGAGTCTCGAAGAAAGAAGCGTAACAGATGCTAAAAACAAATTGTACTTGATTGAGTTTATAAATAGAATTAAGTTAAGTGTACAAGTATGATTGACAACATTGGTTGATGAACATGTATTGTCAAAATTTAAGTGTTTGATGTAGAAAACAATTATTTTTTTTAAAAAAGTGGATGAATAATTGAATATAATAACGTCAAGTAGGATGTTATCAACCAATAATGTCAACAAACATTGTACATATATACATATAGTATGATTGTTATAAATGTTTTATAAGCCCCCGTTTGGCCTCCCATTTTTTGAAATGAAAACGTGTGAAATAATATTTTTTTGAAAATTAAGTGATTGGAAAAAAAAAGGAAAATTTTTCGATTTATGTATAATATTATTTTATGAAAGATTGTGTAGTTGAAAATAGAAGGAGGAAAAATAAAATATAATATAATGGGACTAAATTGATTGCCAAAAGCAAATTGCATAGAATCGTACATGCAGGAACAGTGTACTATTTTCAACTTTAAATATCAACCAAGCACTTCTTATCCTCTGAAACCATTTAAAAAAACGTGCATGTATTTATGCATTCTATATATTCTACATTTCTTGAGGAGTTTCAGTAGTTTGAGTTTGAAGAAGAAAAGATGTCTATAGTTGTGAGAATTCTGTCGTTGGGATGGGCTATCATGATGATTACGAGTATTACAAATGTTGCAGATGGAGCAATTCCTAATGATTTGCAGGAAAAGATTTCTATCATAAACAATGATGGTCCTTACTTGGGTATTGTAGTGCCCAACAGTTTTGAGATGAACCCTCTTCTCCAATCTTCAAGTTTTGTTCCTCATTCCACGCTTTCCTACTTGGATTTTGCAGGTTAGACAACTATTCACTTGAAATTTAATTTATTGCTTACTTTGATTTTGTGTAAGATGAACTATTCGGTACCAAACGGTAAAATATAAAAAATAAAATAAAATAAAGTGGTATAATCTTGTCTAGTGCTCCACACTTTTGTCTAATGTTATAATGGTGAAAAATAATTTATTTATTCAAACGTTAATATTAATTAACTATTGAAAACAAAGTTTAGATACTGTTGTTGTCAATCTTCTCGTAATATGTTTGGTTCTACCAAATCTTCAAGGAGACAGCAAGAAATAGCATAATATCCAGTTATAATATTCCAAAATCTTATGCTTATTTTCTTCATCTTCTGCATTGAAACAGGAAGAAGATTTCGATTTGGAACTTTGGAAAGTCGAAAAGTTATCATTGTCATGTCCGGACTCAGCATGGTATGTTCATTTTTGTAATACCCTACTTACAAGGAAAATTCAATGATTTATTTCTTCCCATTTTTCAGAGGTACAACATAATTAATTTAAATTATTATTTCATAGCTTAATGCAGGATTAGTAACACAGTTGCTGCTTAGTATATTCGAGATTGAAGGAGTAGTTCACTTTGGAATAGCAGGAAATGCAAATCCTAACTTACAAATAGGAGATGTTACTATCCCTCATTATTGGGCTCATTCAGGCGTTATCTCACTACGTAAAACCCATCGATTTAGATGCTCCGAAAACTATCAAAATAAGCTGAGAAAAGCACTAGATCATTTTCACGTGTAGTGTATACTCACATATATTCCCATTAAATGACTTTGTTTAAATCCTTGCGCAATTTTTTTGATCAGAGGTTTGGAGATGGGCCTGATGATGAACTTGCATTTGAATCTAATGGAGACTATACAAGAAAAATCGGTTATCTTAATTTCTCTCAATATGAAAATGGCACAAAAAATGGGAATTATTCAGGCAACCTTCTCAACAATGTGTGGTATCAAGCGGAAGAGATATTTTCCATTGATGGACAACCTGAGATTAGACAGCATGCCTTTTGGGTTCCTGTTGACAAGCTGTACTTTTCACTTGCAGAAAAACTTGAGGTTAATTTTCTACTATCTTGGCTTAATCTCTTTTGACACCAAAGTTTATCTACTACAATGAAACTTTACTGAAAGACTTACACTAACCACAAATATGATTAGCCCAAAAGATTGACACATTTGTTTACTTAAATTTAGTTTTTAATTTTCGCTTTTCTGTACAGGATATTGTCCTTGAAAAGTGTGTCAATTCTACTACGTGTTTACCTCGATCTCCAAAGGTATTTAGAGTGGAAAGAGGAGTGAGTGCTAATGTGTTGTTAGACAATGCTGCCTATCGAAATTTCTTGTATTCCAAGTTCAATGCAACTCCGGTCGACATGGAAAGTGCTGGAGTAGCCCTCGTATGTCTCCAACAAAGGACCCCTTTTATAGCAATTAGGGCACTATCTGATTTAGCTGGTGGTGGTTCTTCTCTCTCCAATGAAGCTGCTATCTTCTCTTCACTAGCTGCTCAAAATTCAGTTACTGTTCTACTTAAGTTCATTACCTTGCTGTTTTCGCAACCTCAAGTTATTTAACTTTTAACCGTTGGTACCAAAAATAAAGCAGCTGATTCAGTAGCATGGGTTGAGATAAAGGCCCGGTGTCATTATGGACACAATCCAATAAAGTTATTAATCAATGTTGTTCCTATTGAAGTTCATTTTATAATGTTTTTCTTATAATGTTGTTTATATAAACCCCATATGGAATGCAATTAAGAGTAATACACAAATATCTGCATTGATATTCTATTAAAAAAGAATAATGACGTGAACCAATAGAAATCGCCTCCCAAATGGATATATCAAGAAATACATGGCTAGAAATATCCAGTACTCTCTAGAATCCACCAAAGAGAGACAAGAATTCCAAGAGAATGACAAATATATCTCAAACAAAAATAGGTTTATATTCAAATAATTGTGTTTCTACCTTCAAGGATTTTCAAGATTATATTTAAATGAAAGAAACGTCTATATTAAGTTACAAATTCGTGCATTTAGATTCCAAAGAAATTGAAGAATCATAGGAACTATCTTGAACCAGAAAAGAAGTGACTTTTAGCATCCCCACGAATAGACTTTTCAACACGACCACATTGCTTTGAAATTTTGAGTAGGAAAGTCAAAAAGGAGATCCATAAATTGCTTTGAAATTTTGAATTGATAACCCAATGATATATTATTTTATATCTAATATGTCTCAACATGTCTCATAATTTAGTTGAAGTGACACCAAAATTCTACACCTTAAAACTCTAAAGCACCAAATTTGACTTCCTTGTTTACTCTTTAATTATTCCAATTTACTATTTTTACTTTTATTTGACAAAACACAAAGTTTTGTTTGATTTTTGATCTAAATTAAACTAACTTAATGTATGTTAATGTAAACAAAAATCGAATTAGGTTTTTTGAATATGAAGAAGATATTAAGGCAGCCAATTTCATTTATTGATCAACTTTAATTCCTTAATCAAGAATCCGAACTAAATATCGTGTTTGGTCTAATACTTCTAATGTATTAGATTTATCTATCTTAAGTTCAAATTGATTCTATTCCATATCTTTATGTGAATCATGATATACTAAACATTAAATTTTTAAGAATTCATTTAATAACTGCATTAACTGTAAAATGTATCTTTATACTAGAATCTTGAAAATTGAATGAACAAGGTTTCCATAAACTACATCATTTGCCCTAACAGAAAGTTTAGTTTCGCATATTGAATGAAGAAAGGCAAAATTATTAGTGAATAAATCTCTAGATTTTGAATGAAGATGTAGAAAAGTGTATGAATCTTGCACCAAGATCCTCTTCAATCAACGCTTCAAATCCTGGACTTGATATCTTGATTTATTGCTTTTCTTCTATGTGTTTCTCTCTAATTCTTAATTTGTGGAACATTTTTTCCTCTCAGTCAAGTCTTTATGCAGTATTATAATTTTAGAATAGTTCCCATCGAAAAAAATACAAATATTTGCAGTTTACCCTACAATTTTCCAAAGCTTCCATTTTGGTCCCCAAAATTGCCAATTATCAATTTTTTTATCCTTATTCTTTTGAATTCATTCAATTTCTCAAAACATGTTTCAATCGATTGATTTCAATCTCAGATGGTCTTCAGGTGTTCAAATTATTCTCCAATCAAGTTCAAATCACCACTTTTTGCATCAATCAAACTCAACGTTGATCTTTTCCTACATATCACATAATTAGGCAGCAATCCACTCAAATTAATCATAATTTATCAAGATTAAGAGCAAAAATAAGCATATAAAATACACTTATCAACACCATAAACATAAACTTTTGTTTGCCTTGAACAAGATTATCAACCCAATACACATGCATGCAACAATTAGCAAGTTAGATAGTCTATTGTATTTGCTTTAGGAGTCGAAACTGTGACTGTCCAAAGTTAACACCACCTCGATGATTGAGACATGGTGAGAAAATTGGGACTTTTCTGTCGATTGGTTCTTCTTCTAGAGTGGGTATATCTTCTTCTGCATTCTCTTCCTTTGCTTCTACTACCAATCTCCCTTGCTTGTGCCGATTTATCTGTGACTTTGACTATCTCGTTATTGTAAGGCATATAAGTGGTGTCACCTTTTTTTTCTACTTCAAATAGTGTCATAGGTACTCCAGCTCTTTTCCACAATGCAGAAATCAAACTAGGCATTGTTAGTTTTGTGTGATCTCTAGGAAACATAGGACGATCCCTGATTGTGTTGATGATGATTTATCCAAAATTAAGTTGTATCTCATGGCTAGTTTGTACAGAAACGTAATCTTTAATATATAAATTACAGTAATACAGTATTGTATATTGTTGGGATCATGTTGCTTGAGAGAAAATGATGGAAGATACATAGTTCATCATTCATATTTCCATGATCAACTATGTTGGTGGTTGGCCAACCTTAGGCTTGGCCCTTGAATATACGAATTGCGCTACTGTGTCCTAATCAATGGTCTTAGTACTTTAGACCTTTCTTCAATATTATAATACACTTGAACACACATATGTTTTAGATAGTCCTCGCTTTCTTCCTCTATATCATCTACATTGAAGCTACACATGAATTCGCTTTCTACGTATGTGTAAACCTTATTGGGTTTAGCATACAGTTTGGTCCACCCCTTTTCCCTGACAATGTTCAGTATGTTCATGAGTTGGATTTGGTCTAGTTGCACTCCCTGTGAATAAGAGTCCAATTATTGAATATATCTGCACATTGTGCTAGTTCCTAAAAAATATAAGTTTCATAAGACAAAAGCTCGAATTGAGCCCCCTTTCTAGTGCTAGAGGACTCGATAATTCCCTTTCGCTTATTTGCTCTAAAGATTGTTGTTCTTGGAGGTATTGTAAATGAGTTATATCCTACAAATGTAAATAAGATGTTAGGCCAAATTATATTTCATCAACTTGTATAAGGAAAATATGTATTAATGATATATGCAAGGATGAAGTGAATAACGTGACTCAATTGAAATTTTCATTATGTGTGAGGATTGTGGAGTGGACAAACACCCCCAAACTTAATGTGATATAGTAGCACAAGAGTATAGGGTTATAGTAGCTAAAATTGAATTGAAAACCTTTTAACTAACACTTGATGTATAAGGGAAATTCTTAGGTCTAATCCATTCCTCTCTACATAATTGATATATTACACTTGGAACAATAAGGAATTATGGGTAAAAATTGACAAACACCTAGTTGTAGACTTTCAACAAACACATTGTGTGCAAAAAAAAAGTTCCAACCAAAATCCACTAATTATCAATTCTCAAACAAGACCCACATTCTTCAATCTAACATCCTTAAATCCAATCCCAACAAACTCCAATTCAATGTTTTCCTACAACCATTTGAAAAATAAGTTTTTTCAAAATAGTAGAAAAATTCAAAAAGTTATAAACTTACCTTGAAGATTATGAATTAAGTGAAAGTGGATTTAAAATACTCTTCTTTTGATTAAATCAAATAATTTTCCTTGCAGAGTAAGAGATAAAAGAAGATTTCTAGTCGTGAAGGGTAGAGTAGTTAGGGTTTTGTGAGGAGAGAATGAGAATATTTCAGGGAAAAGTGAAGATGATTATGATTTTGAAAGTCTCATATTTTTATGTTGTCAAATATTTATTTTTTAGTATTTAGTTTAGCCAGTAACAAAAATAAGAAAAGAAAAGGTCAAAGTTAAAAGGCCTGGATATGGTCGTTAGTTGGAAACCTTCTTATTCTTCTTCTTCTTCTTCTTCTTTTTTTTCATTTTTTTTATAATTTGAAAAAACGTGCATATGCATTCCTAAGTGCTATATACAACGTTATTATGAAAAAATTAAAAAGATTATAGTTTAAAATTGCATTTTCTCTCTTTAGTCCTTGTTTTATAGTCTTTTAGTTCGACTTTAGCCACAATCATTCTGGAACGGCCATATCAAGGGTATCTTTCGTTGTATGGAAGTCCTCTACAAAATGTTTGACACTTTGTCCATTAACTTTGAAGTTTCCCTTTATTGGATGATAAATTCAATTGTACCATAGGAAATTACTTGAGCTACCATAAAAGATATAGACCATCTTGATTTTGGCTTTTCCGAAAGAAGTTTCAATATGGAGTTGTACAAGAGAACTTGGTCCCCATTTCTGAAAACTCGTTGCTGAATGTTTTTTTCATGCCATTGTCTTCTTTATAGATATCTACACTATAACTGCAATATTCTTGTTTTCCCAGCGTTTTCTAAATCTATATTCAGCTCCTTCAGTGTCCAATATGCTTTATGCTAGAATTCCACGGGTAAATGACACGTATTTCCAAATGCAAACCAGTATGATGAAATCCCAATCGGTGTCTTTAAAGCAGTACGGCATGCCCATATTGCATTATCTAACTTTTTAGACCAATCATTATGAGATGCATTCGCACTAAATTCTAAGATCCTTTTAAATTGTCTAATCAAAGTCTAAGTCTGTCCACGTGTCAAAGGATTATTTTTTAAGAGAAGCTCGAACAATCTATTTTTTGTACTATGATTCACACACTGAATTGACCACTACTGCATTTGCTCCATCTGTTAAAGATTTTATTAATAACTCCATTTGCTTTGTCAAAACAAGAATATGCACATTGGTAGATTTCATGTTGTCCAACTCATTAATTCCATTTGCTATCTTTGGCACTACTGTTTCAGATGAAAACATGAAGTGTGTAGTTGTAATCAACTACAATAATTCCAAAAAATTGTTGAACTAGTTTACTAATAATGGACCCGCTTGCTAAAAATCTACCTAAGATCTGATGATTTGGCCATTGGTGATTGTATGGCATAGAAATACTCTGTTGATTACCTTTGCTTATCTCATGATTTGGACAATTTCTCATTAAATCTTTGAATATATTCCAACCTTTGTGGTAACTTTCTGCTTCACGTTGCTAGAATGTATGGATTTCATGTTGAACTTTTGTTACTTTTGTAGGTGGGAAGAATTTATTATAGAATTTCCTTGCTAAGTCCTCCCAAGTAGTGATACTACTATGAGGCTCAGAATCCAACCACTCAAAAGCTACATCTCTCAATGTATATGAAAATAAGTATATCTTGATTACATGTTCATTAATCCCTGTAAGCTGAAAGTTTTGGTAATTCTGTAGAAA